ATTCACAGGGGAAAGGATAAATACATTGACATAGTTATATGTGATAGTCATATAATGAGCTATAATTCAACAATAAAGTACTGACATGTGCAAAAGTGTGGCTCAATCTCATAGACAAAATATTATGTGAAAGCCAAACAGAGAAGAAGACAAACTATAGAATTCCAAACATAAGTTCAAAACAGCCACAACTATTCCATCAAGACAGCATTCACAATCACAATGACCTTATGTTAATTAGGAGGGTGCACAATGGAGTTTTTTTGAGACCCGCATATGTTTTATATCTTGATCTGGGTACTGTAGGTACTGGTATATAGAGCCTGTTTAATTACTAAAATACTACTTTAGTATAGTTTACATAACTATATAATTTTGGGAGTACAGCTGCACACCTCCATGTGTGTACACGCCTCACTGCTAACCCTCCACCAACTCTCCAGTGCAATACCCTCTCACGTTCTCTCCCCTCTTCCCTTTCCTTGTTTCCCCCATCCCCTTTGGGAACAAGTGTATTTTTTGTAACTTTCTAAAATATTTTTCACAGAAGTAAGATTTTGTATCCAATGCTGTAGAAAGCCCTTGTTGAACTGATATTTCTGGACTGGCTGATTTCCAAGAACATCACTTTGCTCTCAGGGTGACCTTATTTCTGGAGGTTCTAAATAGGCAATATAATTTAAATGTTGTGCTTAGGAGAAAGTGATGCTGAACTATAGATTTAGTGGCATCTCTTCTTATTACAAAATGCCATTAGGTCATATAACTCATCATTTTCTTTTCTTAAATACAGAAGTTAACACCTTAAAAACAATTTATAGGGCCTCCCCTGGTGGCGCAGCGGTTGAGCCCTGGGCTGAGAGGCTGCCCGCAGCCTCTGCAGCGCCAGTTAGTCCCCTGCCGCCCTCGAGGGTCCCACAAAAAAAAAAAATTATGGCTCGCACACATCTATTTAGCCTGCACAGCTCACACAACACCTTGTAAGCTATTATTTAAGTAACTACTAGGTATATCTATTCTGGGAGGACCATAGTATAACTCAAAGAAAATAATTTGCTTAATAAAATATTCATCTATGAGGGCCCCCCCAGCGGTGCAGCGGTTGAGCGCTGGGTTGCGAAGCTGCCCACAGCCTCTGCAGCGCTGGTTCGATCCCCGGCCACCTGCGAGGGTCCCGCATGGTGCGCAGACCTCTCTTGCGGTGCCCACTTCTCCCCTCAGCAGTGTACTTCATCAGTCTGCCTGTTCTGTTCCCTGCTCTGGCTCTGGTGAGTTCTCTCACCCTCCCGCACTTCTGACTGTACCCAGTGCTTGTATAAATAAATAAATAAATGAATGAATGAATAAATCTTAAAAAAAATATATTCATCTATGAGAGTTATGGAATGACATCTTATTTCATAATTTTTTTCATATACATGTCTTATTTTCAGATGGTATATATAATTGTTTCAAAGAATAACAATTAATATGCAGACCTGGAAGTGTCACTGACATGGAGCAGACCGTGAGCTGCTCAGCCCAACTCCACCCTCCAACGGCACAGGGAGAGAACCAGCCACTGTCCACTGCTCACCTGCTGGGAATCCAAGGAATGGAAATGGGGACGCAGCTCCCAAGCCAGGAAAGGGCTCTTGAGACCCTCTGGTCATGACTGAAAAGAGGACTCCAGACACCAGGGAGGCAGGCAAGTGTTTAACAATTGGAAGAGCAAGAAAACAGAACTCTGGGGTGACCTCTCTGGGCATGAGAACAACTCTCTGAGGTGCATTGCTAGGGGGTCTCTATAGGTTTTAGGAATGGGATTTCAGAACAAAGGGATTACGATTTATTGACTGAGAAATCCAGGAGAGTGGACTTGCCCAAAGTCCATTCATTGTTCTAGTTTTGGGAACCAGCAGCTGCAGCTGGGTTGTTGTATAGGCCACGTGGCTATCTCCCTGGTGAACATCTCATGGAAGTTGTGAGCCCGTAGCCACAGTTTGAACCGGCCTGGTCTAAGGTCTGTGATTCTCTTCTCATAGCAGCCAAATTGATAAGCTGTGGAAAGACAGCTTGGAAATGGCCAAAAAAAAAAAAAGCAAAATACAAAACAATGAGCCAAGGAAATTTATGGCAGCAGGTGTCCAGGCCTGGAGTCATCAGGTTTTGAACCTCTGGTTTACAATCCTGTGGGAACAGCAACACTTGGTCCTTGAGTCCTGTCCTGTCCTTATCCTTATCCTGGGCTCCTTCCTGTCTCAGAAGGAAGCCCCCATTTTCAAACTATACTTGGGATTGAACCATTTTCTGCTTGGGCTGGAGTGTCCTACAAAGGCACACAAGGCAGGGAGGAAATAGACACTAAGGAAATTCAAGCCACTGAGACATCTGCTGAGCTGTTGACTTATGCTTTTGCTAAGGTTTTGCATGGTCTTTTGTGAGTGGTTGTCCCAGATACAGAATCACACAGGAAATTTATTCCCAGGGATAAAGCTGAAGACTCAGGTTTTGTCTGCCTTTAGAAACCTCAGAATTCTTTTTCAGCACTGCCTTTCCGATCTTCAAAATGAAGCAAATCCACATACTCTAAAGATGATTTTTATACTAAAGAACAAGTTTGAATATCATCTTTCTTTTGGGGAGTGTCTGTTCCTTAAATGGTAACCTTGACATATTATTAAATGTGTCACTTGTCCATATTAAAATATCCTTTCACAAGCCAGGTGCCATTCTCAGCATTGCAATGGCTGAAACAAAGTGGAATACGGGAGATTTTTCATGTCATTGGAAGTGGTAGAGCCAGAAAATGAATTGGATTCCTTTTAGATAAATCTTTTATGGATCAGCAGATTTATGCAGAGTTACTTAAAAAGCAGTTAACATTCCATTAGCAACAAACTGTGATCTGTGTCAGCAATAAGGCACTCTTCAGTCATTTATTTTAGTGCAAGTCACTTCAGAAAAAATGCAATTATTGAATATCTAAGAAGCAAATAAATACTGAGGTAAAACTAGGTCATTTTTCTTATAGAATTATGAACATTATGCTTGATTCTTTGCTTCATTTCATCAAAGCCTTTGGCTGTTTTATGTTTGTCAGTAAGTTTATGATCAGGAAAGATGAAGTGATTTTTAAAAAAAAAAACTGTAAAGCTCACATATTTTTACAAAGTTCATACCAATGATTTCAGTAACAAGAGCTTGAGCTATGGTACCAAAAGGAAGGGAGATGCTGTTGGGGTTACCCAGGCCATGCTGTGGGAGAGGGGCACTACCATATATGGAGAGATGCGTGACCACAAATGCTGGGAAATTCCGGAGAGGCCAGTGTTCAGAGGGCACTAAATCAGGGTGCCCTTTAACTGCACTGGGTTTAACCTCAAACCCCTACATGTGAGAATTTCTCTTGGTACTGACAAAATAGAAGCAGATAGTAGAAAAACCCCAAAGAGGTCTGTGAGTCATGGTGAAAGCAGCTTCCAACAGAGTAGAGAGATTAATAACTCCAAGCCTCTTGAAATAAAAGCATGACAAGGATGCTGGAAGGGATGGGGAAAAAACATGTTAGTTCTGTCTAAGTTAATGAAGTAAAAATGAAGGCAGACCTCTTCGGGGAAGAGGTCTTCCCCCCTTCCTCCAATAAGTTGAACTAAAATACCTGTTATGTATTACTGCATAACTCTGAAATATAGGGAAGACAGCCTTGAACTCAGGGAACAACGCAGTGGTGATTTCTCAAGAAAACCCTATTCTCTTTAGAGAAAGGACCAAGAAAAGGTCTTATCAGATAGAAAATTAGACAAAAACTCCTCTACTCCTTCTCTATTAGACAAAAACTTCTCTATTCCAGGCAAGCACCACAAAAAAGGGTGGTCTTACCCGACCCTCAACAAGTGATTATGAGCATGTTTGAAACAATAGAATCAACAAAGAAAAAGGAAGTCTCAGCAAAAAAATGGATGATGTGAGGAAGAACCAAAACAAAATTTTAGAATTAAAAAGCACAATACCTGAAATGAAAAATCACATTGGATAAACCAACAACACAGGGCAGAGGACAGGAAAAAGGATTTGTGAACTGATAGAATAATTCTAATTTGAATAACAGAAAAAAGTAGAATTATTAACAGAACTTCAGGGATCTGTGAGACTAAAACAAAAACTCTAATATTCATGTCATCAGGGTAGGGCTGAAAATGTAACTTGAAGAAAGAATGGAGGAAAATTACCAAAATTTGACAAAAGACATACATCTGCAGATTTAAAAAGTTGATAACATTCCAAATAGCATAAATCCAAAGACATTTACACCAACACACATCAGTCAAACTTTTGAAGTGAAAGCAAAGGACAAGTCTTGAAAGAACCACAGGGAAATGATACCTTTCCTAGAAGGGAAAAACAATTAGAATGACAATGCACTTATTAGAATCTACCAAAGGCAAAAAGGACATGGGCAGCACTTTTTCAAGGCTGAAAGTAAAGAGTCGTTAACGTAAAATCCTCTATTCAGTGAATGATTATTCAGAAATAAAGAGGAAGTCCGCTATTCTTTTTTTCCCCCTTCCAATGATGGTCATTGAGGTAAAGTTGGTTTACATCATTGTATTTGTTTTAGGGGTTAGAGGTTCAAACATCTATAAATTTATGTTGTCCCACTGGCTGGTTATCATTATATGTTCTCTCAGTGATAAGGACCAAGTAACATACCCTCCTTTACTTTGAGAAAATGAACTTTCTCCTGGATCATTCTGAAATATAGCTGTATTTTTAGGATCATACGACTATATACACTTGTGGAATAGAATTTTCATTTAATTGCTTATTAAATAGCACATATTACTGAAAATAATAGATCTAAAAATAGTGAATCCTTCCATCTTATATACTAATTTTACCATTAATGTTTTAAAGACTCAGACATCCATTTGAGAAATTAAACTTTAATAGTAACATCAGTATTAGAAACAGTATTGTTACCGAAGTAATTTTTCAGTTTTACAACAGATGTACCACTGCACTTAAAACTAACCAATCCTGATACTTGCAATCAGTCCAACTTAGCTCACCCACATAACTTAGAAATTAGGTATAACATATTCAGAAAGTAGATTTAGTTAGCATTAAAAAATAAACATAGAAGGCTTATAATAATTGAAACATTCCTCAGAAATACTTCAAAAGATGAAATAACAACACTGAAAATATGATCAATTCTACTTAAAACCAAGAAATATTTGGGAGAAAACTATTTTTTATTTATTCTTCAACATCAAAGGAGCACCTTTGATGGTAGAGGACACCCCTGTCCTTATGACTTTAGTATTTTCACGGACAAAATTGCGGTGATGAACCCTCTTCTTATTCAATATCATCTCATTCGTAGTATTGACTTTGGCCTTTACATTTACTGGTGGCGTGGTAACTTGAGGTAGCCCGTTGATAGCATACAACCAGTACATATCTGCTGTCTTGAAACAGAGAAGGAGATTTTATGTGAAATAGCCAGAGACTAAGAAAATGTAGGAAAATGTTTACTAAATTTATACCCTCTCTCTTCCCCATGTGTGGTATGGAAAAGATACAAAATTGAAGCTGCACTAATAATAACACATCATTAACACGGAAAATATATCCAGAAAAGTATTTGGTTTTATGAATTAAGATCCATTCACTAAAAAAAACAAAAACAAAAACAAAAACAAAAAAAAAAAACCTCTCCCAGCTGGAGATCTGTCCTGTGAGTGAACTAAGCACCCACGTAATGTAAGGGGAAACAATCATTTAGTTTGCATGAAATTGTTGCCCAGGATGAACAACAACTAATGAAAACAATACCTCACAAGATTAATTTATACATGAGAATTTACTTGTGGCCATAGAACTTACTTAAATATATCAAATTTGTTTTTTAGTTACTACCTTGGTATACATCATCAATGACAATTATAATCTAAATCCAAGTTAGTATAACATATTCAAGGACCTATAAAAATTCTTCTTCTGCATAAATGCATTGGATGACAATATTGAATTAGGCAGTCTAGCATTTTCTATGTGTTTCTATTCATACTCAAATATCATAAATTTTGCAGAATTTCCTGAGCTACCTGTATTTATCTAGGCCCTCTTCCTCACAGTAAGATTTGCAACATGTATGTTCAGAAAACTTAATTAGGTAAGTCCAGGCCAAGTAAATATTGCAGTAATCAGGGTTTCATATGTAGAGTAATATCTATCAAAGAATGTACAGGAATTTAATTATCAAAGTGCAGGAATTTCTTGCACCTCTGGAATGGCCCTATTTTCATAACTGACTCTTCTATTCAGTGTCCATAGTAATTATGTATTCAAAATCAATGAGTAAAAAGCAGAACAAATCTAGAACTATACAAAAACTGGGTGAAATAAGACTTTCTTCATACAAGGGTGTTCAATTTGAAAAACAAAGTGACATTCTGGTGATCATGCATTTGTCAACATAAATTTTTACAATAAATTGACACACTTCATGGGTACACACAAGTGAGCTACATGGAAGGGAATACACTCCCATCCGGAGCCTAATGGTTACAAATGGGAACTACATGTAGGGATTTCTTCCTTTGCACAACACATTTCCAAGACCATTGAAAAAAATCACCTGTAAATACACTATGTTTAAAATCATAAGTGTTATTATATGCATTGCAAGTAAGATTCAAATAATTTTGCAATAAGTGTCCATGGCACTGCCTCATTAATGTCTGATTTAGAATTCTAGTACACTAGATTCTAAATCATCCCCATCTATGGTGATCTATTTCAAGTTCCACAGTGGATGCCTGATCCCTCAGACAGTACCAAACCATAAGTACATACTGTTTTTTTTTCCCTGTATATGCATACTTATGGTAAAGTCTAATTTATAAATTGGTCATAGTAAGAGATTAACAATAGCTAATAATAAAATACAATTGTAATAATGTGTTGTAATAAAAGTTATGCAAATGTGGTTTCTCCCTCTTTCAAAATATCTCATTGTATGTAACATTTTCAGACTTCAACTGATCATGGGTAACTAACCAGAGAAAGAAAAAACCACAGATGTGTGGGAGCTACACTGCAATTACTTTGGCATCAGCAGCTATGTCTTGAAACCTGAAAACATGTCCTTTGTGCCTGGAAACAGTAGGAATAGATACATTTTCAGAAATAATTTGAAAGCTGTCTTTAGCCTAAAAATTCTTAGAGAATTAATGTCTGAAATTTTTTGGAGAAACTTTGATTACTGGATACATTTTAAAAATTGTATTTACCTTAACCTTTGATACAATGATCGCTTTAACAGACTCTTATATTAACTGCACATTGTTTTTTCCAATTCAAAATAAATTTAACTTCTATTCAATTTTCTTCATTTTAGAATTTGGCATTTTGACAATACCTTATTTAAAGGTTTCAACATCTCCATCTCAAATCACCTAAAGTTCTCAAATAGGTTATTATAGTATAGAATATGCAAATACTAACATGCCAAAATATGAATATACAAATCACTTTGCAGTAATTATTTACCTCTTCTGTATTTCTCTAATATGGAAGGGAACTAATTTCTTACTTTCTACTGGTGATGGTAACATCTTTGTTACATTTCCTATTTAAAACTTCTTTACTAAATAAAAGGAAATTAAGAGAAGAAAGAACACTTGAAATACGTGGGCTTTTGCAAGACAATGTTGTTAGTCTTTATCTGTAATCATTGGGTGAAATCTTTTCTCCCTAATTCATTTAATGCCTTTAGTGACAACAAATATCCTTGCTTATAGCATTGAAGGACTCACCTGGATTGCTAATGTTGCTTTGTATTTTTTACTGTACATTCGGGGTTTAAAACCCACCGTGATGAGAGTTCCATCAGTGTCATAAGGAAGAAGTTTTCCAGCCTGAGGTTTCACAAAAAACTCAGGATCACTTCCATGTAGGAAGGATGCAGTGAATGGCTCAGATTCTCTGGAACAAAAATATAAATATTAAGCATTAGATTTTATAATTACCCCATTCTCTATGTGACAAACTGATGGGTAGAGTTTACATCCTGCTGTGTAGGAGCATAGTTAAAAATTAATGCTACTATGCAGCTGTGAGTCTAATACGTGTTACTTCATGGAATGCTTACAGAATGATAGTGAGGAGACATTTTTTAAATGAAGAAGAGCTTCATTCTTCCTGGGGTGACAAAATGGATTCTGAAGGTTTTTTTCAGTCACATATTTATACTGTACAAAGAATAAAATGCTGTTCCTATAAAAACTGGAAGGATTCAATGCCCCAAATGAAAATCCAATCATTTGTAAGTAAATCCATATCTAAAATGTCCTACCATAACAGCTATCATAAAACCTATGTTTTTACTACTATTCCAATGTGCTATATTTGCTCACTTTTAGCTTGCTTCACTAAGTGAGGCAAAACTACTTTACAGCTTCATTAAACATTCTTGGGCTTGAAGATGAGTGGCTATGATCTGAAGTGAACTGAATGACATTTAAGATTCAAGTGACCATTTTCATGTCAAGGCTGATTACATTTGAGATGAAGACTGAAAGAAGTTGAGGAAATTCTTGGTGGAATAAGGCACGAAAGAGTACAACATGCGAGTTTGTAAGAGAGGAATTTAAAATTCAAACTCACAGGGGAGATGCAGGTAGAAGATAGAATGCAGTTTCCTAGAATAGATCCAGCTGTGAAACACAAGGAAGATGGGAGATTCACGTTGGGCCCACTGATCCACTAGCAAATGTGTACTGAATGTCACGGCAGAGGATTTGTGAAAGTGGACTATGAATATGTATAGCCTGGATTAAGAGCCCAGCTCGATCTAGGTATATGACTTTAAAAAACGTACTTAGCTTTTTTGGACTTCAGTTTTCCTATGTGTTAAATGATGTTACTAATCCCTATAAAGTCATTACATTAGTGTCTGACATGTGAATAGTGCTCTATAAAGATTAATCAATATTAATATAGTCATCATTATGATTGTTGTTTTTAAACATTATGATTTCTGTTTTAAAACATTCAATTACCAGTGCTAGGCAGTGATGTAAGATTCAGTATATGAGATATGTATAAAACAGAATATGCAGAGGAGTGATATCAGCAAGATGGTAGAATATAAAGACTCAGGGTCCCTTTTTTCCCCATGGAAATACTGATTCAGAAATATATGGATTGATACCCATTGGGAGAAACTCAGAAACCAGTTAAGAGAATCTGCTCTCCAGGTGAGCCCAAAAACAGCTGCTGCGAAGTCAATAGGAAAGTCTGAGTCCTGCTCTTACCATAATCTCCCCTCCCTGTGAAGCACTACACCATTATGTGGACTCTCCCAATTCCCGTTTCTTCCTCCAGAAGAGAAGACTGAACCAGGCATCCAACATTTGGACATTTGAGAGTGGAGAGCTAACTGAGGGACTGGCTTCTGTCTTTTTTTTTTTTTTTTAAGATTTATTTATTTATTTATTTATACAAGCACTGGGTACAGTCAGAAGCGCAGGAGGGTGAGAGAATTCACCAGAGCCAGAGCGGAAAACAGAACAGGCAGAGTGACGAAGTACACTGCTGAGGGGAGCAGCGGACACGACAGGAGAGGTCTGTCGCACCATATGGGACCCTGGCAGGCGGACAGGGATCGTACCGGCGCTGCAGAGGCTTGGGGCAGCTTTGCAGCCCAGCGTTCAACCACTGTGCCACCAGGGTAGGCCCCTGGCTTCTGCCTTGCCTACTTGAAGTATTGATGGGACCTGACATATTCTAGGTATATTGGCGCATCTGAGAGCAATTGTCCAGAGGTCCCATAATAAAGCAGACAGAAACCGATACAGTGTAGAAGCCTCTACCTAATGGCAGAGAAAGAAGACTGCAACGTGTCCAAGTTTCTGGCATTTCAGTGGTCTGTTTAAGATTCTCATTTCTGTCTAGCCTATCTCAGGTAACTGATAGAAATAGGGGGGTGGGAGAGAATTTGGAAGGAGGGGGGAGGAGCACAAGGGACTATGGTGACAGTGCACAGATGAACAGGTGGTGGGAATTGGATGGGGACTACACCTGAGAAAAGCAAGCAAACATTGCTTAAAAATGAATGATGATGTAAAATTTATCAACAAATACATTCTAAAAATTAAAAAAAAAAAAGAAATGTGCTAACTCTAGATGCCTAGGGGCCTCTAAAGGAAAAATAAAAAAGATGTGGGCAGTGTACTGCTGCTTCAGAGTGTCCACAGTACAAAAATACACATCAGAGGGAGCAACAAATGACAAACTTCTGACAAAATAGAAACTAGCAAATCTAATGAGTAATCGACATGCACAAGTTCAGAATCATAGTCACAGAAAAGATTTGAGAGGCTCCAAGAATCTCTACCACAGTGACTGATGAAGATCTTCCCTGTATGAAGCAAGTCCATAAAAACTGGGAGAGTTGGCTGTTTTTTCATATGTGTAGACACCAAAACGAACTAATGAAAAATACCAACAAAAAATTACCTAATTAAAATAAGAAAATAACTATCCAGAAACATACTTAAATAAGCATAGGTATTACCTGACAATAATTCAAAATAACTGTCAATGATATCCAGAGAACAGTGCATGAACAAAATGTGAATTTCAACAAAGGGACAGAAAATATAAAAAAAAAGACCAAATAAATTTTGGAGTTCAAGAATACAAAGCTGCAGGAACAATTCACTAGAGGGGTATAAGTGCAGATTTGATCAAGCAGAAGAAGTAACATGGGTGTTGAAGACAAGTCATTTGAAATTATCCAGTTAGATTAAAAAAAAAAACTTTAATATATATTCAAAAAAATTATCCAGTTAGAAGAGCAAAAAGAAAAGCAAATGGAAAGCAGACGAAGAAAATCTAAAGGAGTTATGTAACACTATCAAATGGCCAAACATATGGGAAGGAGAGAGAAATAGGGACAGAAAACTTATGAAAATGAATAAGAAAATGCCCCAAATCTTGGGAATGAAATGCTCAAATTCATGATATTCAACAGATTCTAAATAGGATGAAACTAAAGAAATACACAATGAGATGTATAATCAAAAAGATAATTTTGAAGCATTAAGAGAAAAAAGACTCAATACATACAAGGGGAGGTATCAACAGGTTTCGCAGCAGATCTTATGGAATCCACACTGTGGAAAACCTGTCACCATGAACAAAATCCAACTGCTTGATGTACACATTACATAGAAACTATATACAGGCAGCACTACCCAATAACAGTTAATCATTTTACTTCATATTTGTAGTGCATCTGACATATATAACTACAGAGCCCAGAATTTCTGATAAATACATTCATCCACTAGGAAAATGTTTACTGAAATCTAATGAAAGAGATATATTTCATATTTCTGTCGAGACTCTCTTTGGACTTAATGCTAGTAGAAATGCAATGAAAAAACTAGCTGCTTCAAATTTTGAACAAAACACCTAATATTTATGATATTAAAAATGAACTCAGAAAATTGTGATTATAATAAAGTGGAATGATTGTTTCTCTTTTGTTTCTATGCAAATATATTGCTATAATTGCTTTCCTTATGTAATTTTAAAAATATGCAAGGACATAAAGTAATAGACCTTATCATGTTAGAGATCAATCCTATTTCATACATTTGCTGGCAGTAGCCATAAAAAATTATCTCAGAGATATTAAAAAATCAAGGGACCCAGTGAAAATACAAAAATAAACAGAATGGCATATTGCAGAAATTGTATTTGTCTTATCTTTTTGCAAAGGCCCACTGAAAGTACAAAGGCACATTCCAAGCACATTGGAATTAGATTGAGAAAACATGTATGGGGATCAAGAATTCATATGTGTAGGGGAATCATGAAAGTGATAATCACGAGTTTATTACTTTAAGAAGGCCAAATCATAGACAATTTTATCTTTAATCATAGAAAAGTATCAGGTTTAGCATATCTATAAAATACTAACATTAGTATTATTATTATCATCAGTCTATACAAATTAGGATATCACCCAGCACACTGGGAGAATGAATCATATTGGCATCTGAGTGTAACATAATGCTACAGGTCTCCGTTCTTCCCTTTTTTTGACAGTAAATATGGGCCTTGGTCTGTGGTCTATGTTTCCCACTAACTAAATGCAGGCAGAGTTTCCAATTAGGTTTAGAGACAAAGTAGACTATTAGAATAATTTATTTTCCCATTTAGAGACAGAGATAATCACGCTGACAATCTTCCAGAAAACTCATACACTTCATTTTACATCTTTATTAAGTGTTTTCTTTCATGAGTATCCTCCAAAATTTTTAGACTTGTTTTTATTGAAATCTCTTATAACTGATGATTGAATCATATAATTTTATCTGTCAAAAGCAATCACAAGTGAGGCAATGAAGGGTGGAATTTGTCTTATTTTGAATTCAAATGATTTAGTTCTTATGTTTTCATTAAATTAAAAACAGGATAATGTTGCAAAGTGATTAATTAGCAAGGACAAAAAGGACAGAATATAATGGCTCAGAATTTGTGAAATCCATGGATGTTTACTTCTTATAGCTAAGAAAGAATAAAAATAATTTCACTCATAAAAGTCTCATACAGGTTAAAAAGTCACTTCAATTCATATTTTAGGTAGACTATACCTTTATATCTCTTTAATTTTTACCTATGTGGGAAATGTGGTGTAGATATCTAACATACCTGTAGTAGCAAAGGTTATGGCAAAGCCAAGTGTTGTGCAGGCCAAATGTACATATAAAACTGGATGAAGGAAAATAGATAGCTCTCTTAAAGTAAACAAGTATGATATTAAAAATCTCTGCCTGCCAATAAATATACCTTCATTTTTGCACTCCCAATGGCACAGGGAATATTTTAAAACTGACCAAACTGAGAAAGTTATACAGGATAATCAGTAAAGGTATTAGAAGAGCAGATCTCTAATTATGCCCATAAATATT